CTAGTTACAAGATCCAGGGGTAGGAACATTTTTAAATCCAACCCATTGGAATTTCACCAACAGCCTCAGTCAGGGAATAATTGTAGGAAAATACAAAATTATTGTTATCAATGGATCAGAAATGCTTTTGTCAAATTTTTCCACTAATTATATCAGGCTCATGCCATTTAAACATAGCATTTATGCAGAATCAACTACAAAATTTTATTTGTCAGTCAGAGGCCTTAATGTATGACAAAAGTTAAACTGATTCACATTAATTGAACAGTAATTTTAGGTGGTAATTTGTTCAGTGTATAAATTAAAGCGGCAATACGGCTCCAAATCGTGTGCTTTTTCATTCAAATTTACCAAATATATCATTCAGGAATAAGGTAAAAAGTTGAATTAAGCATTTGAGAAAAATAAATATTCCCTCCTCGTGCAAAATAAACGTAATCAGAATCTGCCAGAAAATCAAGGGTCGTACAACTTAGATCTGTTTACTTGTACCACGTGAATTCTAAAATGGCACGTGCATACAATGTAGGGTTTACAATTATAATGGAATATTAATTAAAATCAATTCTGAGAATCAAAATATCTTAACTCTCCGGTAAATTAATAATACTTAACATATTAGTCTGGATTCAGACGAATTTAACATGATTAAATACAAATGCTGACGTTTTGTGTTGACGTTGGATGCAGGAAAGGAAAATCTACCAAATCATACGTCATCGCGGCAAAATGTCAAACATAATACCTTTCTATAGTTCCAATACAATTTGCACTTCAAATGGCAATAAATTTTATATGTCATAAGTGCATTTTAATGTTGAGTTTACACAGATTTTTTTTCTTTGAAAGCCATGGAGATACATGTACGAGAAAAGATAGCATGTATCAACAAACTTGTAGGGTGGAACCTTCGCGAGCCCCACGTGAATGTCGCCGAGATCCCGTTTCTTCTTCATCCAATGATTTATATATTAATCTCCCAACTAAATTTTTGTCAGCAAAGTTGCTTTTTAATTTCAAGCCCTATTTTTGGTTTTGTTTTTCGTTTTGGTCGACTTTGTCAATGTAGCAAGCATACCAGGCTTCCCTCGTTTACCATGCTGTTTTGTTTATGAAAACTATATGCATGCTCGATAGCATGGAATGTGGAACCTCGAACACGTTGCGATGTATATATTTATGGACCATGAATAATTAATAATTTTAATGAAATAATCAGAATTATTTACTTATGAAATTTGTAATTTTCTGAAAGTGTATACATTTATGAGTATGAAAAAAATTCCAAATCCTATAGGAAAATTTTAACAAGTCTGTTTTTGAAGAGATGCGCCGTATTGTCACTTTAAACCTTCATTAACAAGAAAGTGCTTCCTTCTGATCACATTTTCAATTTTGGGTAAGAAAAATTTTGTTTTATTCTCCATAACTTTAGGAAAGTGATGTACAGTTATGTTTGTAATTCAGAAATAATACATTGTAAGGCAATTTAAGGTCAACACCATAATTCTTATTCTTTTTAACTATGGGGATAATTAAAATATACATGTAATCATGTATTCTAGCAAGCCAGTTTGATAGAGGAAAGGGGTTTTACTCTGTTTATGAGACATTTATTAGTAATATTTGTCCTGCTCCTGTCATAGTTTTAGGTAGTGAAGTTACACTATTAATTTAATAGGCATAGATGTGTAATTGTCATAAGAAGTCAACTTAAAATAGTGCTATATTTCTGGTACATATAATTAAGTAGCTGGAAAGATTCGTTTATGGGATATACATGTAGACTGTCAATTATACAGATTAGTTTGGTTGAAAAAGCAATAGTTAGGATAGAGTTGAGGACTCATGAAAATAGAATTAAAATATGATGAGAAGGTTAGTTTTTTGTTTTTATTTTAGCATTAAAAAGATGGCATATCAAGTATTATTATCAAGTATAATTTCAAAGATAGCTTTTGGAGTCATACTTGGGAGGAAGACTTTGAATGATGTAACACCTGGTGTTACATACATTTGAGCACTATAAGCCTGGAGAGATAATTCTCTAAAAAACTAACCGATTATAATGCAATTAACATGATTTATTCCCAAAGATAATTTTACATGGTAAGTAAAATAGGTTTTGTCTAGAACAGAGTTGCTCGAAACCATACAGAATAAATTAATACATGCTGCTGTTGAAATGAGAAGGGTACATCAGGATCAGCCATATTTATGTTGGGACAACATTTTGTCCTCATATAAATGCTTCTTACCATCTTGGTACATGGAATTCATCAGGTTTAATAGATATTATTTTGCTATAAAATAATCCTATATAAGCTAATATAAAAACTTTTGCTGAATTTCTCATGACTTTACATATTTAAAACATCAATTGAAGCAAATTGCATATTTTCAGTCTACTTGTTATAAGGAAGTATTCAATTTAGAAGGGGGGTCTAGATTTATTTTCAGGGGGGTTAATTCAGTTTTCCCAGTTAATAGGTTAAATTTAGGGCGATTGGTCGTGGGTCAGTTGAATGCGGCCTCTCCATTTTATGGGGTGACCGAAACCTGTGGATTCCAAAGGATTCGGCCATGTGGCGTTTGCGCCGAGCCATTCAACTGATGCTATAATTCATTGTGCTGCTGCTGCTTAAAACGAACTCATTTACTGTGAAAATGTGTGCTGCTTTCAACAAATTCATGAATTGGTCTGCTTTGCTTGCTGGAAACAAACTCAATTGCTGTGCAAAATGTGTACTGCTTTCAACAAATTTCATGCACAGTGCTTTGCTTGCTAAAATATCTTGAGGAACGTTCGCGGTTTGATAACTCGGAACGATAACTACATACATGTAAACTTGTAAAGTTTATTTAAAATACATGTACATAAAATCTAATTGTAAGGTTAATTACCTTTCGCGGTATACCCTGAACGACCATTATTACGCTTATTATAAGTACATGCACATGTAATATTATCCTTTCATGTCGTTTGCTGCTGCTGCTGCTGCTTGTTGTAATTTGGGGTCGCCCTGCTTGACACCCCGTTGCTGCTTTACAATATGCCACGAACAACAATCGCCAATATCAAAATAAACGTGTATAAAATCATGTTTGTTTTATTTTCCTCTATATAAATAAGTAATAAAGATTCTGTGAAAGTTTCATTAAATTTCACTCAGTGGTATAAGAAGAGTTGCGGATAAGAGATGGGTACCTTAAAGCGTAACAGACAGACGGACGGACGGACATATCGATTACAGTACCCTCGTACTTTTCAAGCGGGGGGTATAACTAGAGGTACTGTGAGCAATGAGCTCGATAAATGATACCTCCCGCCTCCCATATGAATATAATGGGAGTGTCCATGTTTTGTTGTGGGAAACCCAAAATATGTGTCAGATCGAATGAAAAATAGGAGGTACACAATGGCAATATGTATTGAAGATTCTGTGAAAGTTTCATCAAATCTAATGAAATGGTATGAAAGAAGTTGCGGATAAGAGATGGGTTCCCCAAAGCGTAACAGACAGACGGACGGACGTACCGACAGCTGGACGGACGGAAAGTCATACCGATTACAAATGGGATAAATCCCACGGATATATACCCTCCCGTTGAACAGGGTATGAAAGAATGTCATTAACATAATTTATGGAATATATTCCATGTCTCATACTTATGGGAGATATTGTTTGATTCCCAATATCAGTGGGATTTTCCCATTTGAACAAATTTGTGCAGGGTAAATCTAATGAAATTAGAATAGAGAAAAGGTCGAATTTAAACGATGTCATTGAAATTTCTGTAATATAAACTTCTAGTTATCAGTTAGTATTATGCCTTGCTCGTAAAATAGAACGTACTCAGTGAAATAAAGATAATGTAAGAATGTCAAGAATTCATCTTATTGAACATTATAATTTTCAACTTCAAAAATAATTTTTTATAATATTATAAATGTTAAATATCATATAATGCATAAAATGATATGTTTGTGATAATAAGTTTTCATTGTTTTGAACATGAATGTATCAAATATAATGGAAACAAGTTCTAACAACTTACTGCTTCCTCCCCCTGGTCTTCAATGAGCTAACTCCCTACTGTAATGACACACGAATTTACCTATGCCGTGTCAGATTAAATAAACTTGTTTTCCAAAATTTAAGAAGTTGACCAAGAATTAATATGATTAATGAAATATTGAGTATTAATATACTGTGATTATAAATACATGTCCCATGTGCAATAGAGAGCGAAATATCATGTTAAGTCATTATAATACAATTTAGAAGTTAGTTGGGTCCTTTCCTTTATTTATACTAGTAGTCATAAAACGGTCTAAATATGAAACAGATGTTACTCTGTTGTGTCTTTTAAGTCAGGTAAACTGAGATATATCAAGTTGACATTTGAATGGAAATTAACTATGGTTAACTTAACTATTGTTTACGATTGTATAATTAGCATTATGAGAGACATAGTGCAATTTTTAACCCTTGCTTACTACATAGACTTAAAAGCTGTATCCAATTCCATTTTACAATGTTCTTTGCCAGTGCAGCGCTCTGGTTAAAGCGTCTGATCTAGAGTCGAGAAGTAAGGAGTTTATCCATACGTCGCGAGTTCGATTCCACTGTGGGACTTCGGACCGTCTTTACAAAGGTCCCTAGTCGCATGTCAAAAAAAAAAATTAATTAAAAAAAATAAACAAACAAACAAGACATTTTATGGTATACAGTTAATTATAGCAGTACTGGCAAAAATAATTATCTTTTGTATGAGAAATTTTTCCCTTGGAAGTCTTTTAACGAAAAAACCATCAATTTATTTCAAAAAAATAAAATTCAAAATAAAATTCTCTTATTTTGTTTTACAATTTACATGTAAAGCATTCACAAGCAAATCAATTCACAAGAATTGCAATTCTCTCTATTCTTATCTCTCTTTCATTAAAGATCTAGTGAGATCAACCTGTAACTAAATGCAAATTCAAACAACAGACACCGTAGTTGATTTTTAAAATTTTTATTGTAATACAATTAATACCACGTTGATAACCACCATGATTATCTCTGAAACTGAAATAAAAACATTAGATATAAAAGCATTTATTATTCAAGTTTAAATTAAAGAAAGTTTTTGCAATGTGCTTTGTATATTCCTCAAAACGTATAATAGAAATCATAAAAAATAATGAAAAAAAAAATCTCAGCACAAAAATGTTTGATTTAACAATTCTAGTTAATTTTATGTAAAAGACATTAATGGTTATCCTACAACCAAGCTCTATGATAAACATGAGGACTAACTTTTGTCAACTTCGCTTACTTATGCTGCAATATACCTTCATCACCTGCATACGGAGTTAATATCTCTCAGATTATTCAATTCGCAATAACATGCTCTAGTTATATACAATTTCTAAAACATAGTAAATTATTGACAAACAAGTTGATGAAAGAAGAATATTAGCCGTCTCATTTAAAGTCATCGTTAGTTCTATGGTCAATACAATGACGATGTAAGCAAATATAATTTATCATTGAGTCAAATGTTACTTAGTGTTTTTCCATTATTTATGCACTGAATTGACGACGGAATTTCCGTTTTTTTCTTGTTCATGACAAGGATCACTTGGCGGGTGTGACCGGTCCCAGGGGATGCATATGCTTACTAATCTATGGCACCTGATCCCACCCTTGAGTTTTCGGAAGCCCATGTTTGCTGTGCTCCTATTTTGTATTTTTTTCATGGACTTTTGAGATTGAATACTGTTGGTTATCTCCATTTATTTTATACCATTGAATTATAACGTAAAATACATGTATAAAAGTAAAATATATATTCAAACACTTAAATTGACATAGTCTTCTAATACTAGAAGATCGAATCTTCAAACATACTTCTAATTTTTCTTTATTTAGATCGAGAGAAAAGTACCATTCAATCATGGGGGTGGGGACCACCGGGACCATGATGTTCCCCTGGGAGATCGTGATCCTTGAGGCATTCACATCTAGCGTCCAGACAGTGGTAATGTTCGTCATGGTCATGACAACGACCAATTCCCATACAGTCCAGCATGTCGGTACAGGCTAAAATGTACAAGACAATATAAGGTAGAAGCTAGTGTTAACAGCATGTTGTGGAATAGACTATGATATACATATTTCTATAATATAATGCTTATTAATTAGGTAAAATATCAAGGCATCTGTAAGTCCAAGAATATTGCAAGAGACGGTTAATGCTTGTTAATGTATACATGTATTTGAATTTTAAAAAACGTTCTTTTATTTATAGTTTGATATATTTGGTTGTTATCTTTACATTCATGTGTTTATTTTTGTTTTCAAATAATTTTCGACAAGAATTTATTTATAACAATTCTATTTTGATTAATTGCTTTTAATTCATTATTGATAAAGTCGTATAAGTTATCAACACTTAAATTAACCATTGTTGATTCATCATTAAGGCATGTTATAAAAAGTGAAGCAATGACAAAATTACAAGAAATTATTATACCGGATTAGAGGACCATGCTATACGATATCATTAGTAGAGTTTACGAGTATCTTATAAGATAATTCTCCAATACTTTATAGTAATAATTTATGAAAGTCTTAATATTTATCCTCGATTTACAGCCGTTAACTTTCTATAGATTATCCTGCAATAAACACCTTAAATACTCACAAACGTGGGCATCACATGTGCATCTCTCCTCATGACAGGCAATATGGCTTGAATTTGAGGGACATACTGTTAATGAACAGTCAGCAAGGTCCCTACACCGTTCTGCCAAAACACTTACTGTAACAGTGAAATAAAAAAAAATGAATAGATATATCACTGTAAGTATTCCTTCAATATGTTTTTGCGCTTGTGTGCTTTGCTTAAAATGTATGTAATAATTTCATTTCTGATTTTTCTCGTCATTGTAAAGGACATTTTATATAATGCTCGTATATTTCAATATCTGGTATAATTGTTAGGAGGAAATGGCACCAAATTATCCTCCTGTGACCTTCAACTGGATTTTATTAGATATACATGTATCAATGACACATAGTCGATTAAAAATACTAGTAGTTACTTCAATTTAAATTTTGCCTCAAGTGTATTCAACCACATAGTCGATACAGTTGTTTCATGTTTAGATACTTCACTAGACAAGAACTTCAATGGTGACCAATTACGAAAACTTGTGAGAAACATGATTACTTTGTCAACATTCCTTGTCTGTTGAGCTATGTACTATTATCACCTGCATATATTACTGGTTTTAATAAGGAGGCGGGGGGGGGGATTATCCACAAATTTAATTTATTTTTTATATATGATAACTTAAGCTGTCAACTCTCATTTGGCAAAGAAAAATTTCACTTATTCTAGTTTTAAAATTTGACCATTTTGTACATCTTCATATGGAGCTCTTCTTCTAGAGGAGATCAATATAGTCTAAAAATTGCCGCGACACCCTGCACTCTTAAAGTATGAACCTTATTTTGGTAACCAAGGAATCACTACAATGGTCATTAGATAAATAATAAAAATATAAAATGTAGTTGAACGATGCAGGTATCTTTTTTCTACATATATCAACTGCAACCTTACAGTTATCGTTTAAATATAACATTGTGCCGACCAAACGTAAAATATGATAAGATTATATGCATTTTTAGCATAGCTTTTATATGTACATGTGCTTCTATATATTGTAAGAACATAGATAAAACAAAAGGTTAGAAACTTACCACAAACAACAACAAAAGCGCATATAAGTAAAGCCCTCATGGTGACGGAGAGTGCTGATTCCAATGCCCAACTTCTCTACACAATAGTAAGAAAGTACCTTTATTGAAATCGAGACAGCAAGATAAGACATAATATTGTAAGTTCAATGTCACGAAAGGAGGTCACGAAAAATTTTACGATAAGGCTATACATGTATAACCTCAAATTAATCTAATTTAATAATGTTTGAATTATTATGTCTTAAACACAACTTCTCCAATTTAATTTGTAAATATTATGTCATTAAAGAGTATTTTTATCGATTATTCTCTGAAAGTTATTTTTTTTTCCTCTTTAAAAAAAGATAACTGCTTCTTCAGTTATTGAAGTCGTAAATTTGCATACCTTTTCTTAAGTTATCTGCAATTTTTATTGTAAAAATACTCTGATTCTATGCACAAGTATTTAAAGAATGCTTGAATTTTTTTTATTGGCATACCTATGTAGATTTCGGAGACAAGATCTTTCAACAATTTGATGAATACCAATTACTATAGGCCAAGAATCTTTCAAATTTTCAAGTCATATCATGCACGTACGGTTAAGCCCCCACAAAAGGATTGAAAAAAGTAATGGCTGAATTTTATAAATGAGAAATATGAGAAATATAAATTAAGAGATTATATTATAGTTTCAAAGTAGTTTATTGACAATTTTTGTTTTTAGAAGTCTGAAAACAACAAACGACAAAATATGCTTTCGAGTGCAGAAGTTATGAAACTTTTTAGAAACAAACAAAATAGAAATCTGTTACTGTTTTTCGAAGTATCGACGTAATATATTCTTTTTTCTGTAAAAATTGATTAAATTTAGATAACTAATAGTATTCAAGATCAAAAGTCCATAAACAATGCGAAAACAGTAGCAGAGCAAATAAGGACCTCCAAAACAGAGGTGGGATCAGGTGCCTTGGAGTGAGCATCCCCTGCAACCGGTGACACCCGCCGTGTGCTCCTTGTCATGATCGGGAAATAACGGAAAATCCGTCGTCAATTCAGTTTATAAATAATGGACTAACAATAAGTTCTTTTGATCAAAACGTACGGTTAAGCAGCATTTTAGTAATGGCAATAAAAATTGGAATTTCTTGAAAAGGTCATATGCTTTCGAGTGCAGAAGTTATTGAATTTTTTAGAAACAAACAAAACAGAAGTTTCTTGTTTTTCATCAACTTGTTTGATAACGGTAGTATTGAAAATTTCTTAAAAGTGAACATAAAACAAAAACAAACAACAGCTATAGCAAATAGGTAGTACATTTAATAAAATACGTGGTGCCTGTTTTGGAAAATAACACTTGAAATTGCCCACCTGGAAAAACCATTGTCTACGGACGCGCCAGCGTAGGTGGACAATAGTTTTACCTTTTGGTGACAATTTCAATTGTTACCCCTTCAAAACAGGAACCATTTATATGGTGTTTCATTGATCTTGCTTTGAGATTGACCATTTCATTCTAATATTTTATCACTGTTTTTTTTAATAGAAATTAAACACGATTGATTTCAACATATTGATGTCTTTTTAAAAGAATCTGTTCTCTTGTCTCACTTGCTGAAGTTTACCTATACCGTCTACACATGTACTTGCTTCTGAGTTATCATCATTGAAAAGATTTTACTTTAGTAAATCAAAGATTATTTTCTACCATGGATTTCAGAGTGTTATATTCCATTTCATAAAACCACATTTTTTTTGGTTATAAAATGGTATTGTTACCGGTAATTGGATATTGAAAATTATTTCCATATTTGACAGCGTTGATAGAAGATTGAAGCGATCCAGGCAAAAACACAAAGTTTTTTTTTTAAATGACTTACGATCCTCTCTCTGTTACCCTTACAAATATAGGAACCATTTAAATGAAACTTTAATGAGTACTGTTTAACATTTCATTCTAATATTTTATACAGATCAGATGTGGATGCTTTAAAATTAGAAGGATCTTTTGGAAAATTTGAAATCACACGATTTTACCAAAATCAACAGCTTAATGACTTACGACTTTTCAACTTGGTGAACATCCATTCCCCAAGAAAAATTTGTCTTTTAATATCTTTCACAGCTGTTTTATTTTTTTTTCAATAAAATTTGCACTCATAAATTTACTTACATTGTCATTGGTCATTTGCTTAAACAACATTCTGATTGCACACACAAGTACTCTGAAGTTGACATTAAAAAATAATTGATTTTTTAATTGACAATATCTATATGGTTTTTGGAGGCCAGGTCTTCCAACAATCTATTGAAATTCCATTTGGTAATATGTGCGCCCCGTTATAGCAGACCTTTTTCTGTATTCATATGAAGCAGATTTTTTTTTCAAAATATTTTTTCATGAAAAGAAGTAAACGCTTGTGGTATTCAACTCGACATTTAGATATATCGGCGACGTATCTTCAATTAAAAATGGCTATTTTGATTCCTATGTCGATATGATATATCAGGTTGAGCATCAGTTTTAGATACCACAGAGTCGGACACCCCTGTTTCATATTTAGGTATTTTATTCGAAAAAAGATGTTAATGGTAATCTAACAGTTTAGCTTGAAGATACAAGAAAACGTGATGACCATAACTTTTCTATTGTCAACTTTCCTTACTTACAGCAATAGACGTCATTGCCTGCATACAGAGATTATATCAGTTGATTCGTTACGCAAGAGCATGCTCTACGTATGAACAATTTCCAAAACGAGGCAAATCATTGGCAAACAAGTTGATGAAGTTCAGCTCTCTCGTTTAAAGTCATCATTTCGTAAGTTCTATGGTCGAAACAATGACCTTATCAGCAAATATAATTTATAATGAAGTCCAATGCTAACTGAAATTCTACACACTAGTTGTTAAACCTTTATTTACACACGGATTTATTGACGGATTTTCCTTTTTTCTCAATCATGACAAGGAGCATACAGCGGGGTAACTGGACGAAAAGAAATGCTCACTTCTTCATGGCACCTGATCCTACCTCTGATGTTTTTGATGGACTTTTGAGTACGACTGCTCTTCGTTATCTTCACATATTTCATAAGAAAATTGAAATCTCAATAAAAGTAATAAAATTCCGTATTATGCATATTGATTATTAGTTTCGATGCAAAGTTAAATTTGTTAGTGAAGATTTTTTTTCACTTCAAAACAATTTGATGTTATACTTTCCAAAGTAATGCTGAATAAAAAATATTAAGTACAACTTTTCAATCTTTTGATAGTTCTTTGAACTAGCTTAGGTTAACAAACATCGTAAGCACAAATTTAAACAAATCATTCCTTTTAATTTCACTTTATTTATGTTGCCCATATTTATTCACTGTGATGGAATATCTTTGTCTTTTAGACAAGCACATTTGTTGTCCAAGCAATGATAGTGACTATCATCTTCATGACAACGACCGATATCGATGCAGTCTAAAATGCTGGAGCATGCTGAAACAGAAAATAGCTTAAATATATTTATCAATCACAGACTTTAGAGACCAATATTTTTTTTTTATATTGATACAATATGTATGTAAATTTCATGACATAGACACTAGTTTAAAAAGTAAGATATCGATGAAATAATATAAATTTTATTTTTTACAAGGAATTTTTGTTCTCATTTCAAACTTAAGTAAGAATCCTGAGCAAGAGAATATCAGATTACTACAAAATAAGCAAAACTAATTGTTGAAAGATTTCTGAAGGTATCAGTTGATATCAAAGAAACCAGAGAATTGAACGATCTTGTGTAAACTAAGTAAAAATAATTTAGACGTATGTAATCTAGCCGAATTGTTAATAAACTGGTCTAAAAAATACAAATTTGTACAGTTATAGTTTGCTCACGGATAGCATTTGAGATCTTGAGACATATGAACTGTTTTACAATGTTGCTTCACAAATTAAAGATGCTGCTATCTGTAACAGTGGACATTTATTCAATAAATAATTAAAAAAAAACATTTTATAGGCAATTGAAAATTTAAATTACACGAAAGTATGTTTCATGATACCGGGGTCGTGTGTATTTTTCATTATCTTTAACAATATGCATTCAATAATTAAAGTACATTATTCAACTTACGAATGGAAGCGTCACATGTACACTTGTATCCATGACATGCAATGTGGGAGGAATTCGAGGAACACGAGGTAAACTGGCAGTCCTGTGCAACTTTACATCGCTCGGCAATAATGCTTACTACATTTAAATGTAAAGATATATTAGTTTTTCATCTAATTCAAATGTCGTATATCAATTTGTTTTATTGCGATACTTGATACATGCTAAATTTCTTAGCCCAACAGGTGAGAGTTAATTTCTGGAAATATGATGACTGAAGCGTTATATAAACATATTTTAATTTGGTAACATAAATCATTTATTTTGGAAAGAAAAAACACTTGTCATGCTTTTTTGACAAAGGAGTTATGGCCCTTTTACGAGATATCGACGAACTAATTGTGACTGCATGACTAACTTCGGCAAACCTCGGATCATTCCGTTGCCTTCATAGTAATGATGGGTCCTTTAACCTTGAAAACGTGTATTCAAACAAATTGATCACATTTCCTGCGGAATTTAGATATTGTATATCATACAAACGTTCTACAGCCAGAAGCCATCACCTTTTTACTTCCCGAGCTGACACTTTTTAATTGTTACTGTAACAGTAGTGTGGAATATGCGTCATGTTATAACATTTAATAGTTGTAAACAGTTTTCAGAAACACCCTACTTCTTCCAAATCTGAGCAGTTAATGTGTTTTTTTTTTGCTTCGGCTTTTTTGCCCCCTTCTCTTGAAGTTAATAATGTCTCTCTTGAAATATGATTCCTGAGCAAATTCATCAATTCCTGGCGATTTTTCGGGTTGATAAATCTCAAAGACGGTAAAGCCTGAAGAATTATCAAAGCCTGTAGACAGTCAGTAACAACATTTATAAGTAATTCCATTATAGGTACATACATAATGTGAATTGTTGAAAGAAATTATGTTTAGGACAAATAACGTGAAGGATGGCCGGTGTTGTTGATCATTTGTTTTGGCATAACATGTTTATTTGATTTTTTCTCAATGGCAAATGTACTGTTGAATTAAGTGCTTGATTTACTAGTTTACAATGGTTTAATTTATTCAATGCTACTTAAACTACAAATATTTATTATATATCCATGGACATTATTTGATTTCAGCACTGTTATTAAATTTGCATTATGATATTATACTTAATATATGCATTTCAATTGAGTATTTAAAAAGAGTAAATAATATACAAGATATTCTAAAAAAAGAACAACGAACACATTTCTTACCATACATTATGTATGCTAGTTATGCTTGCTTACAAACTTGACTGATTGTTGACTAATGATGAACTATATTAATGCTGAACTTTCCTGATTTTGATACCTAATATATTTCATTTAACAGGAAATTGTCTTTGCATTCTATTGTATACAATAATTTCTTGAAAATCGACAGTGTTCATAACAAAATCTACAAAATGTTAAAAAATGTAACCCTTTTTTATTTCTAAAAAAATTTTCATTTCGTTTTCAGAATGATTATTGACTTTTTTTTACGAACTACCAAAGAACATTAGAATTTAGTTTTTAAATCTTAATTCTTAACAGCGATAATCAGAAAAAATCTTAATGTCATCGTAGGACCTTTTTCTTACCACAAAATATGACTAAGGTTCCGATGAAAAGGACCTTCATTGTTAGAGGATCAATATTTGAGATATAAGTTGTAAGTTGTGTAGTGAATTAGGTTAATAGCAGGACAATATCAAAGTTACATAACCTCTCAAGAAATATCTCGGATACTGATAAAGGTATTATATTAATACGTTTCATTTGGCAATGTCCAAATTGTTTTTGACTTATCAAGATCTGTGTTGATCACGTACAAAACCAGATATATTTAAATGTTAAACCTTACCCAATTTCCACGCGTACGATATTTTATGTTAGTGAATATTTTCTAATTTTTAAATTATGATTATTTTTTAACAGAAATTTAACATACAGAAATAGGATGCACAACAAATCTCCCTTTGATTAAGGCAGTGCGAGCTGAGAGTGAAAGCCTTGCACAAGAATTGGATGACTTAAAAATTCATTAGTACCCACCCTACTGTCAATTATTTTTTCACTCTTTTAAATCAGGTCATGATTCCATACATGTAATGGTTTCTGTCAAAGATTACGGCAGTCGATAGACAGTAATGAGAGAAAAGACCTTTGGCGAGTTGTAAGAATGGATTAAATGTATGTGTGTTAAAATCTTGCAGTAAGCAATTTAGGGGCCAAATGAAAACGTACTATTCTTCTGTGTACAATAAATCAGAAGTGAAAACGAATTAGATTTCACGGTTAGTTCGTACTGAATTCAATTTGAAATGTCATCTCTATATTGGGTTCCATAATTTCATGAAAATCATCACAGAGACACACAGCGAGTTTCCGTAAATGTTCTTCCAAGCCTGTTTCTTTATTCCTCATGTAAATATTGATAGAAGGGAAGAAGACATCAGAAATACTTTGCAACAATATATTCAAGAGTAAAAGTGATGTAAATCAGATTTGGATACCTAAATTTTCCAAAGAACTTATAAAAAATTTGAAATCACAAAACTTTACCAACAGTATAAAAAACTTACGTACTTTCAACTTTATATACAACCGTTCCCTAAGATGTATTAAAGTCTAGGCTGCTTGAAGAACCAGTTGTGCAGCATTGTTAAGGCTGAAATAAGGGGGCGTGGCCTAGTTAATACGGGAAAAGTCTACTGTGACGTCACACAAAAATACACATGTAGTTTTTTTCCTCACAATACCAGAAAAAAAATTGCAACTTCAAACTGTATTAGCATAATAAGCAACAAATAAACTTTTTAATGCATTAAAAAGTCGGTAATTAAATCCCACACAGCAGGTTATAAACAAATCACTGGTCGCCGCGAACTTGTCGATATGACGTGATTTTGGTAAAAATGACGTATTTTATGTGCAGTTAGACGCAGATCAAGTAATTTTTTACAGTGAAAAATGCGTTTTATTGAAAAAAAAAGTTACTTACAGATTTAGGAAAGTCCATTAATACCAATGTAAACCTTTATTTAGTGGGATTGTTTAGTAATTATCGAGAGAATGTATTTAATTAATGATACCGTGCTTTTGTGTACAGCTTTGGCATATTAATTTAACATCGAAGTTCCTAATTAAATCGTCTTTTCGCAAGGGCATACACATAATAGATCTTAAACATTTTTTGAAAATAAATAAAGGATACATTACTTAACTGAAAAGTGCTGCTGCTTTCTTTAAATCGAGAGCGTGACTTAATAAGGACATAGAATACTTGGTGAAGCCCATTTACCTGAAATTCTAACTAAGAAAATGCGAATTCTATTTAAAGCAGCAGCACTTTCCAGAAAGAACAAAGTATACAGAAACAATTATTAAGTTATTTTTTCTAAATTTCAACTAGGGAATGCCCTTGCGATTATCTACATTCAGCACATATACTATGTATTATCACGTGATTGTCCATCGATGGGGCCAAACTTTATTCAGTACAGAGTGGCTTACACTTTGCTTTTTTAATAAGTATTTAACTTATGTGGTAATAAAACACCTTTTGAAAAATAAATTCAGTTTTTAAAATTTTGCGTGTGTATTATTTCTTGTTTTCCTCATAGTAAGCCTTAACAGTGCTGCGTGACAGCTGCTTTTTTTCAATAAAAACTGAACTCGTAAATCTCCTTACCTTGTCATTGGTCACTTGCAAAACTATTTTGGTGAAAAATATTCTGATTGTACAAACAAGTACTCTGAAGTTGATATTAAAAAGATGCTCAATTGCAAGTTTCTTATAGATAATATCTATGTGGAATTTGGAGACCAGGTCTTCCGAATTTTTTTGGAATTCCCATGAGTACCAGTTGCGCCCCCATTACAGTATACCTATTTACAATTCATATGAAGCAAATTTTGACACAAAACTTAAACGTGAAAAGAAGAAAATACTTGCCATGGCCTTCAACTCGAAAGTTGTATATATTGACGACGCATTGTCAATTAACAATTGTTTTACCATTCTTAAGTCGATACGATAAATCCCGATGAGTTTGTAATAAAAGATACCACAGAATCTCACACAACTATTTTCTGTTTAGATGATTTACTTAAACGACGTTAATGGTTTTGTATCTCCAAACCTGATCTATAAACGCGATGACTTAAACTTTTCAATCATCAATTCCCCTTACTTATGCATCAATATACGTTTCACCTGCATACGGTGTTTATATTTAGACTTAACATCAGGAATTGCGACTAATAGATAAAAATACGCTTAATCCGTTTTCACCTAACATATGTAGTACAGTCTTAATAATAAACATGTAGAGTTTTATATGGAAATGAAGGTGTTTTTCTCACCAATAACGTTGTTATAAAAAAAAAGTATTATTACAAGACATGTACACATTGACAGACTATTATATTTCGGACGAACGTCAATTTTCGTCTTGTCCCGTTGTAACAGAAAAATATTAACTTCAACAGAGTTTATTCTAGAAAAAAGTTGAAAAATCTCCTCGCATCTCTTTAATATTTCACAGGATCGTTCTCTTACATCCTATTTAGACATAATATGTTTGTTGACAACATCTGTTGAATAGATATCCACTTCCTTTGAAATAAAAGTCTTTTAAGATGTCCCATTCAATGAAAATTTATTGTTACGCATTTTCAATGGGGAAAAAAGAATATTTTGTCAGTAAAATTCATAAATTTGAATTGACGTACAATGAGTACTTTTAAACAACAACTTGTTCCGAAAAGATAATGAAAATTTTCCAGGTGCTCAAGTATTTAATCAAACATAATCCGTGTCCTGCAAACATGTCCCGCTGCGTAAATGATGCCATGTCAAATATATATTAGTTAATAGCTCATTGATTTATTCCGAATTCAAGAGGCAATATTTATTAAAATTTATACCAGTGGAAAGTACTGAGAAATTATTATTGATACATATAGGTTTCATGAGATGTTGTCAGTGAATAAAAAATTACTAAAGAATCGAGTTGTCTTGCGGAAATCTCCCCAGTTGCTAAAAATAACACCTGACGTTCTTAGAATGCATGATTTGGGACATACCTCAATTTGCATTTCCTATTAATTTATTTATGTATTGTTGTACCCTTCATACTTAACATGTTAATCTTTGATCGTCACCTCTCTGTATCCTTGGATTGTCTTTCGTGTTGGTTTTTTTCAAATGATCACCATGAAACGATTATCGCGTACAAATGTAATTATAATTTTTAATCCATGCAACTGCTGAATATTCTATTCAAATGCAAGAGAGAAAACAATGATAGCAAATTAAAAATATAGTGTAATTTGTCTTTATAATCTGCTTTATTGAAAAAAGTACATTTACCCAAGGTTCTGTAAACAAATTACTATTAATAATTACTTCAATGGGATTAATTATTCTTAAAAAAACACATTTAAGCACAAACAATTCATATTGACGTTGTTTTGACATTACAACGTTGAATAGCAATTCCTGACGTTGCATCTTAACTATTAATACGACACAAAAGAGCATGCTCTACGTATGATCAATTCTGAAACGAGGTAAACTATTGACAGATAAATTGCTTAATCAAGAATATCAGCAGTCTCAATAAAGGTTATCATTTATAAAGTTATATGGTCGATGCAATTACTTAATAGCAAATACAATAAAATTATTTAGGCAAATCCTGCCTGAATTTTTTCAATTAAACTGTTAAGCTATTATTTACACCCTGAATTGTCGACGAAGTTTCCCGATCATGGCAAGGAGCAGACGGCGAGTTTGATGAGTCGACAGGGGATGCTCACTCCTCCATGGCACCTGATCCCACCTCTAATGTTTAGGCCCGTGTTTGATTTGTTTGATTTTTGAATTTTTTAATGAATCTTTGAACTTACATATATACTGTTCGTAATCAATATATTTTTATTGAATACTTTAATATTATAATTTTATGCTCTGTATTCTATTATAAGTTTAGGGTCTTGAGTCCGATTTTGAGAAATAAATTCCTACTTTTTTTCTCCAGGTTATGTACTTTCAACAACTGTAAACAATTAGTTGGAAACAGTACAGTTAAAAGTATAAAGAACCTTCTCAAGGGAAATGTAAAAAATTCATCTAGTTGATTGAGCATAGGAATCTGTTCCACAATTTCAACTGGATAACAAATACTGTCACTTGAGTCAAATGCTGAATGAAATTTTATTACTAATTGTAAGTACATTATTTATACACTAAAACGACGATGGATTTTTCCGTTATTTCTAGACCATGACAGGGAGCTCACGGCATGTGTGATGGGTCGGCAGGGGATGCTCACTTCTTCCTTGTCTTGGAGGTCCGTGTTTGCTCTGTTTCTATTTTGAATTGTTTCATGGACATTTGATCTTGAATTACTATTTGTTATCTCCATGTGTTTCATTGAACGGTCTAGATATTCTACTTTTGTTTCATGTAGATCGTAATCTATCTTTGAACTAGAATAAATATCTGACCGAATTTTAGTCATGCTGTATTGGTAGAGCTTTAGTCATTGTATGCTGTAATAATTCTACTTTCCTTAAATGTTGTTTGAACTAGGGATTTAAAATACTAATGTTTCTTTTTTTTTTTTACAAAATGATTCAAATATTGAAGAAAAGAAAACAATCCGCTTTTGTTAGATAACTAGGAATTTATTAAAAATATCAGAATATCAGAATGTCCGAAAACATGCCGGCTTTTTCCCGAAAGTTAAAACTCTGTGAGGTTTCATTTATACTCGAAGACATCTACACACTCCGTCAAGACAATGGAATTCTTCATGTCTTTCTGGGCATCTACCCAACATAGTACAATCCTGTCTGTCACTACATGCTGAAAGAGACAAAGTCATTACAATTCAGTCGTGTATCCAACAAAAATGTCTACAATCTGACCAGACTAATAAAAGAAACGAAAATGCAGTAGTCACTTCATGTAATAAGATAAATGATCGATAATAAATGGAAATCCCATTTCTACAGTGTTTGAAAGAATATAAAGGCTGTACCATGTTAAGTTAAGGATATTCTAACTCTTTCTTGGAAAAAGTCCTCATCCTTGGGACATAATCATTTTAACGATAGAATATTTTATCTTGTTAAGTTTAATTGCATTGCCTAAAATGTTGAAAAGATTGATATTGCGTGATATCACATAATCAGGTTCAAAAAAGTTTTTCATGATAGGGGCTTGAGTAGATTTTAACTGTCTTAAATTTTCATTTCGATACAGGTTCCCCATTTTATCTTTTGCTGTAAGGTCAAGCAGTGGCAAATATTAGGATGTCAAAACAAAAAAGTATCAGAAAAGCTTATACCAACTCCAAAATAAATAGGATTAGTTTCGAGTTTTAGCTGTTAACGATTATTTTTCTTTTCTTTCTGTTCTTTCTGTTATGTTTTTTTTGCAGTGGTTTGTAATTTCTGCCTGTCAAATTGTTTTGGGAGATGTCCACTTTATTTACAGCTGTTGCTTCTGGTGTGATACATACACATTGGGTTAGCTATGCAGGTGCATTGATGATGTTCACATTCAATGTGAGAAGCGTTAGTGGCACATTGGGTACTGGCACAATCATCAAGATGATCGCATCTCTCTGACAACACGTAAGCTGCAAACATGAATAAAAAATCCTTTGAGATTATTATTTACATGTATAATTTATTGAAAGTCTATTTCTTTGTCTTTTGTTCCATATAACTTAATTATTAAGCATTAACTGATAGTACAATTAATAAATACAAGTATAAAATGAAAGATGTATTATGAAATTGCGTCTTTCTCTCTTGTACACAGCACAAACGGTAAAATATTCTAGCATAGCCACAAACTATTATATACGTAAACAAAACATCCAAAGGTCTTATAGTTAATTTAGTTTTGAGTTTAAAGAGTTACATATAGTTCATAATACATACGTACCTGATGTACTTTCAAAATTATTTTTCAGATTTAATTTAGATTTAATATCAAGCTGTTCATTTTGTCAGATATGATACATATTAGATTTATATACATGTGTTTGGTCTGGCGTGATAAACAAGCACAGAATCCAGCGGGAAGGAGTTCCAGACCTTCTAGGATTTCAAAAGCTGTAGAATGTTTGTAGTAAAGTAACTACAAAATGACCTTAATCAAACCCCCTCCACAAAACAGTATTTCGTCCGAATAAGATCTAGATTTTTTTTATATTTAATTGTTTGTCTCCTTGGAATTCATTTAATTCTAAAATATTCATTTAAAGAACAAAGAATTGAATTTGGCAATCCTAGCTTCTATATATCTGATACGATTCTTTAGTGGTTTATATACATGTACCTCTATTCTTATTTTGGGAAACAATGATGGTTCTACCCTTGCAACGAATATAACAAACAACTTAAAATAGAAAATACGCTTGGTTCCTGAGAAAAGAGTTCTTTGCCGATATGATTTCATGTTTTTTTTTTCCTGTATAGGATTTGTACAATGTTTTAATTCCTAATTTGAAATATCGTAAAGAATCCCTTCATTTACCCCCCCCCCCCGAATTTCTGCTTTATATGTATGTTTTTTTTAAATAAGCTTACCAATGGCTACCAGTGAGAATGCAATGATGATCGACTTCATTCTTCTATATGATGTGGGTCGGTAGGGAAAATCTTTCTGTCCTCTAACAGTTATAGGGCACGAAACAAACACGATACATACGGAACTCAGAGATAACGAGCCTTATCTTACGTGACCATTGTTAATACCTATTTCATGTTGTAGGAGGAATAAATGAAAAAAGAATACAAATTATATGTTTATCGTTTGATGACGATTAATTAAAGAAATATTTGATGTGGTGATGTATTATCGGTATCGATACGAACATAAATTTAAACGTCATCTGCAAGATTTTTATACACTCTGATAGCAAATGACTAGGTTACTGAAATTTTATTTAGGAGACATGTATCACTTATGTTTCTATAGAAATTCAGAGCATAAACGTTAAGACAAAAAAAGGTACCCAAACAATTGCCTTCTTTCTATGTCTTCCTCCAAATTTCAAAGTTTAAAAACATTTTTAGTGAGAGAAGGAAAACTGTTATTTGTGGGCTCTCTAAATGGGTTCTTTACTCAAAAAATTTAAAGTTACTAATTCCAACAAAAATATTTTCGCCGTGCTTTCTTGGAATATACATACCAGTGTTGATACCTGCTTTGAATTAAAAACCAAACCTCGTTCATATCTGTTAACAGCCTCCCCTGGAATATAATTTGAAAAAGTTGTACATTTTCTTTGATTTAAGATTCACTACAAGACACAAAGATTAATGATAAAAGAATATACGCTCACCTATTTGTCAATGCGGGCTGTTGATTATGTGGTCACCTTTGTCCATTAGTAAACAATTAACTGTCAGATCAAAAGGGTCATTATCACTCCAGACGGCATCTCATCATCACGGAACGGAACACAAAAGCATTTAAGATATATGGCTCACAACTCATTTCGTCTATTTCTTTATGTCTTTGGAATATCATCTCATTTAATTGATAGTGATTTTGATAATGAAACAGTGATATATTCCAATTTAATATTATGCATTTATTTTTGAAAATGAATCTTGAAATGATCAACAATTTATTTTTTTCCAAATAATACATTTAGCAAATTAATAATTGTACACAAACAATGTCGATTATTTGACACAATTTTTGTTAAAACATAAGTATGTTTGGAATCTCCCATGACTTTTTTAATAGATGATTTCTATACAACATGTGATGAGTCTTCAATTTTTCTACATTTGATTTAATTGTTTAAAAATGTCAAGAAAGATTATTAAAGGAAGAAAAGGACATAGAGGGTTAATCCGAAAGTAATTGTTTTAACTTTTACTCTAAGATTTCATTCATATAAATACATTACTTTAAAAATAGAAACACAGAGCTGGGTCTTGTCTATTGCATGACGGCCAACATATTCCAACTTTGTTATTTTTATCTTGAATATTCATTTTGGATCTGATAATTCATAAACATTATATATACAAAAAGAATGAAAAAATAAATAACAATTGGAGGACGTTCAAATAATCTTTTAAACTATAAATTAAAGCAAGACGGATAATACTAAAATGGCAATGAATATTTCTGAAAAGGGAACACGAGAGATGTCAAATGGAAACGTGAGTGAACTGAAAGATAACGTTATAAAACGTCCTTAAGGACAGATGATACAAACAAAATTTTGTCAAAGAATTTGAAAATAACAAATTGGGTCATGTTTAAATGAATAAAATGAATAACTTTCACCGCATAGTTTTGAATTTTTTATTCAAATCTGCACAAAAATGAAATTTAAAGTGAAAAATATTTGTAAAGATTAATAAGGATAGTTTCAGAAAGGCAGAATTTTGAACATCACAGAAGGTTTAAAAATTCTTTATATTCTAAAAATTTATAATTTTCATCATTTGCAATGAAATTAGGCCCAAAAAAATATACCAATCCAGGCAACCATTTTTTGTTTGTATCATCTGTCCTTAACATGTATCGATAGATAAACCTTACGTTGTGTTTATATTATACTTTAAAAGGTATTTTCAGTTTCTCATATTAACTCCTTTATCCCGTAGATAATACTCTTTAGATATCTTTTAATATCCCACAGTTGTGAAGTCACTATAAGTTTTGAGGGTGATGAAGTTAAATAAAGTGGTTTCATTATATAAAAAAAGTGTCTAGAATATTGATCGTGGTGTATAAAACATAAGCTTAAAAGAATTTCCCATAATGCTCTTAATAAAAATACACACAACTTGCTGAATAAAAATAATTAAAGCGATTATATATTAACCGAACTATATTTTATTACAAAAAATAAAAAAGGATAGGGTTTAAGTACATTAGTAATTCATCTTTTATAGTATTTGATTATAAATTATAAAAGATTTTTTTAACGGTTGTGACTTTACGTTTGTATCAACTCTGGTGTAGTCATAAAATTCTTAATGGACTCTATGTGAACTCACAAATAATATGTTTAAATGTATATTATGACAAATACATGATTAAATCTTTCTAATATACCGTACCAATTGTTATGATACTTGCTACATGTATGAATTTTATATCGTTCACCTGTATTGTCTTTCATCTATGAAAAAATAAGATATTTCGTGTTGTATCTCCATATATTTCAAACAATTAATTTCTCTCAAAGTTTAAAAAAAGAAAGGTTTAAAAAAGATTCTTAGAATATGCATGTTCGTACATCACTCTTTATCTGCCATTTTCGTCATTAGTATTTAAAACAAGTATGATTTATCGTTCTTTAATGATAATCTCTACAAATATGACCTATAATTTTAATTTCTTGGTATCTTTATAATTGAATAATATAAAATATTCTAGGAAAAATTGCGGAAGTATTACCAAAATAAATTCAAGGATAAAAAAAAGGACAAAGAAGACAGGTCACTCGTCATGGTCCGTTTCCTGGGTCATTGGCCACATTAATAGCTAGAACTGGAAATCTGAGCAACCTACAACTGTTTTCTTTATCATTAAACCAAAGAAGACCATTAAAATGGTATTTCTGAAACTAACACTGATCTTCTGTTTTGTGTTATATTACCTGGAGATTGTACGAGGCACGTCGTTATATTCCAATGATCGTAACCCGTTGAATGACTGTTGTTCAGGATGCAATTCTTCCGAAGCACATTTTGGATATACAGAAGTCACCTGTCACGGTAAATATTCCGATACTTTTTTTACAGAAACGTTTGCTAAAATCAAGTAAATAAATTATTAAATAAATAAATAGATACATGTAGTAAATATATTTTCTAATGAAGCATGATCTCTTTTTATATAGAGAGTTCGTACATTAGCATTGTAGAAACTTTGTGGAAGAATTAAGTGAGGTGATTGATCCTATTATGGAAAATATTTTATTGATATTTTCAAAAAAATGAATTTCTCAGAAAAAAATTTTCGATATTTGATAGAATCATTTTCAATTTTAGACTAAATTTCGGATTTCAAATCGTGTCAACTTTTTATGTTCTGTTTCTTTGAATACTTTTATAGTAAAAATATCCAAATATTTTATAAAAACCTTTTGTAGTTCTCATTCATCTGCAAATCGATTTTAGTAACAAAGGTTACAGTGGATTGGACATTCGCACATAAAACAAGGAAATCATTAATTGAGGTCTACCAATTAATTATTGTTAAATGCACAATGTCTTTATATTAAAGGGGATTGTATATTTATATCAATTAACACTAATAATGACCACCAAACAATATTTAGCTGGCAGTCAAGGTCAGGTGTTCAGCGTTTTCTTTATGTTTAACATGTGTGTAACACCTAAGAGACATAATCCTGTGCAGCGAAAGTGGTAGTGACAGAAAACTTAACGTTTATTATCTTCACCTGAAGGTCGCCCACTGTAAGGCCATTTAACTCGATAATGTGTTTAGACTTTTGAATAAGTATATCTGTCTCGTTACATGAACATCATATATATTTTATCATGTTTTTTTTTAATTTTCATGATATATGGCTATCTCAGATATCATTAAAATTGTCGTGTAAATAATAAATGAAAACAGAAAAGGGTTTCAACAATACACAAAGGCTCATGTCATTGTATTGTCTTTATATGTGGGTCTGGGAGATTGTGAGGATTGTAATCCAGGAAACCACTGAGAAAAGAAAATGAATAGAATACACACTACTCGTGACAAACATTACTCCGCTAACAAACGATTTAATTAGTGAACCTTTGTTGTATGTTTTGTTCTTTTTATTATCAGAGGAATATATACACAAATAATTATGACATCAAGTGCGACACAATTTCGATATTTTCTCACATCAATGACAGATGAAATCAGAGACCATCTGAATAGCTAACTTTTTTCTATTCAAAACATGAATACCAAAAATTTTAACAAAGTGCTGTAAAATACTTATTTTGATCCTTTGTTGCAAGGTAAAATAGATTGGTGATCTACTAATAAGTTTGAATTTCCGGATAAAAAATTCAAAATTTAAAGGTATATGTATTTTCATCTTTTTTGAGCTTTCAATTGAAATACTGGTTAAGTCGACTTTATTTTTCAAATTCCAAACGTCCAATCAAATTAAAAAGACAGAATTCGACAATGAATGAATTTTTTTTTACATTGCAGGACCAACAAACTGGTACCAAATTACAAATGAATGGCGTTTCTGTGGAGGCTCTATCCAATCACCTATCAATTTAAGAACGAGTGACTCCGTCTATCGGCCAATACTTCATAAATATCCTCTACGTTTTCAAAACCTTTGCCTTCGTATACCAGCACGAATCCGTAATAATGGTACGATACTTTTAGACAGTAATGATTATATTTTCATTCAATTAATCTAAGGGAGTATATGGAGATAACGAACAGTATTCAATCTCAAAGTCCATAAAACCATACAAAATAGGAGCAGAACAAACACGGGCCTCCGAAACATCAGATGTGGATTTCCCGAACGGCGGATGTGACCGGTCGGCTGGGGATGCTCACTCCTCCACCGCACCTGATCCCAGCTCTGATGTTTTCGAGGTCCGTGTTTGCTCTGCTCCTATTTTGTATTGTTTTATGGACCTTTGATCTTGAATACTATCCGTTATCTCCATATGTATCATTTGAATAACATGCAATTAGATGAAATAAGTATAATGTAATAATCTTATCCCATTATCTTGTTGCAAGACAATTTATCTATCATTTTTTTTTACAAAGTGCATGTACAGAGTACAAAAAATTATTTCGTTTTATATGCACTGATTAGTATGCAAAAAAGGGGGAAAATGAATAGAAATCCAGAAGCAAAATCATAGGTAACAAAACTCCTCTATCAGCAATAATTAATATCATGCATGGACAAGTTCGTTCAATTAGATTTTGTTTTTGCTATTTATTATATATCTCGTTACTCGTTTGAATAATATTATATGTACATGTATATAAGAATACTTACAAGAAAACATTGATGTAACCATAAATAATATATAAAGTTAACAATGGAAATGAGTCTTGATCATCAAACCGCTTTATATATGTGAAAAGGCATGCGTCAAATTGATAGAGACGGTAGTCGCGAATATTTTGAAAACTTACAGTCGGATAAAAATCAAACAAAAACGATACCATCTTAAACTTGATCAATTCCTCAAGTAAATGTTGGCTGCATAAACTATAAATTTAAGTTAGACACATGCATCACCTATATTCAAAGATGAGTATAATTTACAATTTTAGAATAAAAAACACGAACCTTGCATAGTACGTTTTTATGCGAGAATAAAAATTCGATATTCTAAAGAAAGGGACTTGTCGTTTTTTCGATGGTAAATGATAAGCAACTTTACATATTAAATATGAAAAACATATATATTTTTACAGATTCACTTTATGGAAGTAAATATATTATGTATCTCGTAATTTATAAAGGGAAAGAACATTCTGATTTACAAACTTTTCAATGTTTAAAAAACCATTAATTCTGAATAACTACTCCCACCCAAATCCCCATACACCAACAATTAAACCTATATGTATAGAGCAGCCCTGTCCTCCGTGCTGCAATAACCTTCAACATTTCAACATAGCAAGTTTAAAGCGTATTTCATGCAGCATTGTATCAAAATAAATAAGGGAATTAAGTCCATATCTAAAAAATAAATTGAAGATTCTGTTTTTGTTTCCAAATACTGAATTATTAGGCGATCTTCCGATCCCAATCTAAATCTAAGAATTCCATATCCACAAAAATAATGAATAGATATTAAGTAAAAAAGAAAATATAAAGAAAGCTTATAAGGAAAATTTAAAGAAATAATAATAAAATTTAAAAAATTCTTAACAACAGATTATTCAGACTTCTTAATGAATATTGAAAATAACTTACATATACATTTACTAGTGTTGCTTTTTTCTGAGATGATAGCATATCATGCACTATTTTCTTTTAGTATATACATTGTAATGCTTACAGAAGGTTCTTATCATCTGTAAACGAAAAAAAAAATCCTACTTACTTTGTACTGTGTTACAAGATACATAACTTAGTGATAACATATACGAGTTTAATCGTGATAACAAAAATAATAAAAACAATGAATAATCATATGATTTAAATAATAAAAATTATTAAATGAGCTTCCATATTCATATAACAAGGATATTTGATACATGTATCTATCTAGTTCTCATGTAGCATGAAATTATTTCGAAATTTTTTCGAAAGCCATCATGACGTATAAAATATATCAAGAATACATAAATTCACATAACTTGCCTAAGAAAGAAAGAAATGGCATTTCAATAAAGTTTCTTTAAATTTGTGGATTTTTTCATTGACCAAAACACATCTGTATGTATATGGGTACACTAGCTGTGCTCAAATTTAAACTGTTTCAATGACTTTTTGAACATGGTGATGTTCGTCATTTCCATATTTCATGTAAGACATTAATTGAAATATTCTCCCAATGGAATGTCTTAGTAGGATCACACTTTGATGTCCTTTGCTTTGCAGGACATTCCCCTCATTTTGATACAGAAAGTGAAGATATTGGCTTATACAATGTTCCGGGTTTGCCTGGACAGAGATTTACATTTAATGAATTCCATATCCATTTGGGAAGAACGTTTGCAGAAGGTTCTGAGCATCTTATGGATGGCAACAAATTCTCCATGGAGGTAATTCTGTATGCTTGATGCAAAAACATTGATTATAGATCGCTTAAGTTTTTTTTAAATATGTTAATCTTTTTGATTTTTTAAAAAAAATTTACATTAATTTAGTAGATTTTAATTTATTGTTAAGCTTAAATCTACAAAGGTACACATTTGTCGGGAGTTTGTACTCTATATTTCTATATTATTTTTTTAAAAACAAGGCTCATTTAGTATTCTACAATAACCGTTATCCGGATGCCATCACTGCTAAACGAAGCCCCAGGGGACTTGCCGTCATAGGCGTTATGATCCAGGTAACAAATTACAACTTTTACCATTCTGTTTAATATACACCATTGCAAAGATTGTTGATCTTTTTTTTTAAATTTGCTAGAAAAATAAAATGTTTGAAAATATGTAATGTAAAAAAGATATCTTAAAAGACTTGGCTTTCTGTTACAGGTTGGAGAAATTGGTGACGAGTCGGATGGAGTTTATTTTGAGAAAAAAGATAAGGTTATTTTTATGCGAGGATATCAAAGTAATTTGAAAAAAAAAAGCATGTAAAAACAAAAAGTAAAATAGGAGGTGCACAATGGTAATGGGTAATGAAGATTCTTTGAAAGTTTCATTAAATTTCACTCCTTCACAGGGAGCAGGTATCACAACTTCTTCAACGAAACATTCCACTGGATTAGTTGACAGCTTAATATTCTGGCTTTTGTCATTTTGTTCATGTGCAACACTACCTGCACATGATATATGAAAAAAAAATGTTTCTAACTTTTGCAAAGAAAAAAAATCCAATTGAGATATTTTTTAGCAAAACGTCAAAGGCTTAAGTCAGAAATTTGAGTTTTGCATCATGGGTACCTGGTTGTAAGTTTCCTTTCTAAGGTTCTTAAAAGATCTATTTACCTTACTTTTGTCAGATCAATTATAAAAAGCCAGGTTAATATGCCTTAATTTGAGGAGTTGCAGATAAGAGATGGGTACCACTCAATATTATAGAAATAATGGCAGTGTTGAAGTTTTGCTACGGAAAACCCAAAATATGCGTAAGATCAAGCTGTAAGGTACACAATGGCATTATATAACAAAACTTATGTGAAAACCTAATTAAATTTGCATTCAATTGTATAAGAAATTTCGCGGATAGGCGATGGGTATCCCAAAGCATAATAGACAGAATGATGTACAGACGGACATCCCGAGCAACATACCCCCCTCCAAAAAAAAAAAAAAAAACAAACAAACAAAACAAAACCTTTTCATGCGGGGGAAAAATAAAAATATTTTGACACATTTTGTAGTAAATGTCAAAAGCTCAAAGGACAATCCTTCTTATAAAACATTTAATGACCATACAGTTACATATACAAAGAACGATAACTATCCGACCATTTCATTATAATTATTATGAGAAAATTTGATACAATTGACAGCAATTGTAGATATTGTAGGTGTGTAAATGGTTAGCTATGGAAAGACAGAACACATACTTTTAAAAAATAAATTTGTGTAGTATTGTTAAAATTCTGTTTTAATGTATTTCAGGATTGTGGAGGTATAAGACACCGCCCTTACAGCAAATGCATTTGTGATGATAGCAATCCTTATTCTGCATACATTTGTAAATTATCTGGTCGGTGTAAGTGTGAGGATGACAATGACTGCTCAGGATTTAGCAAATGTAGATTAAATGAAGTCATACCAGGGAAATATTGTGGAAAACCAAAGGCATGCCGTGTCCGCTATGCTAGAAATCTGAGTTATCTTATGGAAAAATACTATCGCAGTATACGTTTCTATACGAACGTTGCACTGAACTTAGGTTTGTAATAAGTACATACAAAACAAAACACTTAACTCTGATATTAGTACATGTATACCTTTCATATTTTATATATGTTTTAAAGTTTTCCCCAGAGAGAGATTTTTTTCATATAAAAATTGGCTAATGCCTATCTAAAATGTGTATACTTGATATCAAGAACTTGCATATTTTATATGAACATCTAGAAAAAAATCAAAATATTTTCTTATTAAAATTATTTAACAAACTCAAGTAAAGAAAAAAAATATTGACCAATGCAAAAAATACTCTCGTACATAATTCAAATATTTTCTTTAAAAATATATATATGTTAATATTAATATCTTAGTAAATACATGTACAAATAAAATTAAAATTAAGGACTATTTACAATTTTTGATTTCATTATCTAGAGCAAAGGCAGTGGGTGGATATCCCTGAGGGAATTACCCCCAGTGATGTCTTGCCTTACGACTGGAGTTACTATACTTACCAAGGTTCTCTGACCACGCCGCCATGCTTTGAAACTGTGACCTGGATAAATATGAGATGTCCAATAAAAGTTTCCAGGCGGGTATGTTGAAAAGAAAGTAATTAAATAGAAAGTAAGGCTTTTTCACTCGTGCTATGCACACCCCGTGATAATAACTTGAAAAAATGTGCATCCAATCCAGCTAATTGATTATATATCCATGAGCAACACATGGAATATTTTTACATGTATATTATTACTTTTTTTATCTTTCGTATTTTTTATAGATAAATCTTGCTGACTTGCTCCCTTTTATATATATCAAAATTGAAGATATAATTGATTTTTACGACGATCAGAGACTTAAAATACTGTTATTTTAATGAATATATCCATGATGTTGTTTCCAAATGCAGGCATATAATAATCTAGCGTTAGTCAGGGATGCCAATGGTCCACCATTAACAGCATTTGGATTAGACAGACCAGCGCAAAGAGGAATGTTTAACGGCCCAAGCGTTTCACTTTCACGTAGTTTTCAGTGGGATACAGTTGGAACAGAAACATCGTTTTGTAATGTTAATTGAATAAATATTTTTAACCTTTACTTTAGTGTAAATCTACGAATTTAGATATGAACGAAACACCATGTTTTTCATTCTGTTTTGAGAAATCCCTTCTTCACCTGTTGAGAAATTTTATTTCTATCTTTAGCCAAGAGTCTAGTTTGCACCGTTTTTTTTGCAAAATGGATAATAAAACACAGAGTTTGTACAAAAGCATTTTTAATACTTGAATAATGTAAAGAAAACCACATCCTTGTTTTAATCACTTTACTGTATATCGAGCTGAACAAGGGCACTGAAAAGCGAAGCACCCCCTGCAAAGAGCATAATGTAGATAATCAAGGCAGTATTCGACATCAATTCTGATGGAAATTACGTCATTTTGTTGTGCACGAGGAGAAACTAACACATACAATTACTATAGCACACACACATAAGCTCGTTACTTCATGTCTTTCCTCTCGAATTGTGATGGAATAATTATTTATGAATAATTTGTATTTACATTACAAATTGTTAGTAGTTCCTGTACCTTTACATTTTATTACTCCATTGTGTCACCCACGACTAATGACAATAAAACAGGACTGCATTACCAATGTCGGTACAATGCTGTACAGAAACATCTAAAATTATTGTTTGTAGACGTATAAACAATTAACTATATAAATCTTCCCACAAATTACAGTAAAAGCTTTTCATAAATATTTCCTATTATTACGCTGCCATTTTTATCCGGAGCCATTATGTGTATTTATTTATTTTTTTTTAGATATTGATATAAGATCTCATTTTCTTCAAATCACAAAAATTTTTTTTTGTTTAATTTCAAAGGAGTATTTCTAATAATTTGCATTATGAAAAATAAAAAGATAAATCAGAGATATTTTTCAGATGTCAGCAATTTTTTTTTTAATGTCATATATTTTATGAAAATCTATTTCAGGCATCGACTGTTATCTTAGACTATTAAATTTTATTTGAAGCTCTAAAACATCGGAGGTGGGATCAGGTGCCATGGAGGAGTGAGCATCCCCTGCCAACCGGTCGCACCCGTCGTATGCTCCTTGTCATGATCGGGAAATAACGGAAAAATCCAACATCAATTCAGTGTATAAATAATGGACTAACAATTCGTATGAAAAACTCGGTCAGCATTTGAGTCAATGATAAATTGTATTTGCTGACAAGGTCATTGTATCGACCATAAAACGTACGCAATAATGACTTCAAACGAGGCTGTTGGTATTCCTTTTTCATGTTTTTCATCAACTTCTTTGTCAGTAATTTACCTCATTTTTGAAATTGTTCTTACGCAGAGCATGCTCTTTTGTATCGAATCAACTGAGATATATTAACTCTGTATGCAGGTGATGAACGTATATTACTGCATAAGTAAGGGAAGCTGACGATTGTAAAGTTAAAGTCATCACGTTTATCATAAAGCTTTGTTGTTAGATTACCATTAACTTTTCATGGTTTTTTTAAAGTAAAATATCCATATATGTTACTTAGATCCTGTCGCGACACAAAATGCCCTTTTGATTCCTTGATTACCATGCCCTTTTTAGGGTCTAGATTTAACACTATGTAACAGATGTGTCAGACTCTATTTTATTTAATGTAATTTAATGTACCTTTTATGACAAGAGGTAAAAGAAATCCCTTCTTTGAAACTGCTTCAATTTTAACAGTTCATCAGGTCGTTAGTAAGATGTAGGAAACCGTTTTGAGAGAATATTAGAATAAGAATACCAGAGAACACTGGTATTTCAATACATATTGTGCCAATATGTTTAGTTTGATATCGAAATAAGCATTACACATACCAGTAGGAGGTTGCCTTTAATAAGCTTTCACACCTGTACTGTAGTTACTGTGTGAGTCAAGAAAGAAAATTACAATCTTGATTATATAACTGGCTGACACGTTATGAAATAAAACGGTGTTTCCCTTTTTTGTGAACTTTGTCAGAGCAGAGGATAAATGAAATGATATAGACATGAATTATGCATTAGGAAAATGTATTTATTTACCAATTATAAAGGAATCTAATGCATCCGTCCGTACTTGCTGGTAATACGGAGTATATTTTCAAAAGCAAATAGGGGTTTGTCATGTTTGTACAAGAAATCTACATGTAATTGTCGTAGTTAATTTAAGACTTATTAAGCCTTCTAATTTTTTCAAGAATGTTCAGAAAATAACCGATTGAAAGAAGATGAAGATTTCATTGTTTCTGACTCTTGGCTGCTTATGTACATGTACACTGATACATGGATCTACAGGTAATTCAGTGAACATTACATGTTTATATTAAAAGCTTTCATCTCAAAATTATTTCTGTAAAGATATTTATTTAATGAATTAAATTAACATTTATTTAGTAAAAATGCATATCTTTTATTTCTTTAAAATGATCATTAAATATATTAATATGTCTGTTGATTTTATTCTGAGGTGAATAAAAAACTGATATGTTTTTTTTTACCTTGAATATTAACAAAACATTACATTAATCTTATGTCCATCTTTAGGAAAAGGTACTGGGGTCAATACTACATTAATTATATGTGAGGAACGTTCCATCACTCTGACATGCCAGGGGCAGATAGTAATCCAAAAGGCTATATATGGTCAACCCAAGGGAAACATTTGCAAAGGTGCTATTTCTGCAACTTGGTGCAGACTGGATGTGTCAGGTGCTCTCACAAATAAATGTAGAAGCAGAAATACTTGTGATATAACTGTTGGAAAAACGGAATTCAGGGATCCGTGCCGCGGAGTTAAGAAGTATTTAGAACTGATTTATTTATGTGTTTCCTAGAATTGTACTTTCTCCTTGATTACCAAAATATGATCTTGTTTAGATATTATCAATGAAAAAAAAATAATTAAAAGAAAATACTATAAAAAAAGGTTAAAAGTTTTCAGTTTTCTCACATTGAAATAGTATGTAAGATAAGAGAAAAAGGTTTAAATGTCATATTTATCTTTAAAAAAGATAATTAGTCTGAATTTTAGCCATTATTTTACACTGAATTCAATGTATGTTTCTGAACTATTACTTTTTTATTTTCTTGAATCGTTCATTTGCCTAACAACATGAATCCGTCTATTGGAAACTGAACACTGTGGGAGTATTAATGTAAAGGGCTTAAAATCCCTTTTGTGTGCAATATAGACCAAAAAAAACTGAATTTATATGAGTTTTTGTTTTACCGGATACTATGAAACAGATATATGTGACAAAGACATTAGGAGACCGGGCTCTAGGACTTAAGCTTCAAAAGGAATAAAAGGAGACATACATGTATGTCTGCAATAAAATTTTACAAGAAATCCTTTCATCCTTAATATACATAATATTTTTCGAGCTGAATTGGTTTAAAACCAAATTCCTGAAAAATTGAATTTAAAAAATAAATATTAAAAACTTGAATAACAAAGATTTGACTCTCTGTCAATGATGAAAAGTGGTATAGAAAATGTTAACGTAAAATCTTTCTTTTAAAGTGTATTGTAAAAAAAGTTTAAGATCTAATTAAAATAAGTGTGGATTCTAGAATATAGATATCATAGTACATGTATCTTCCTGTAACGTAAACACACTGAAAATGTTTTATTATGTTATAATAATATTATAATATATATTACCACAACTTGCTTGTAAGATACCATAATCTAAAAATTAACAGGACCAGGCATACATGCATGTATAAAGAACGCACGGAATAAGTTTGATTTGAGACAAAAATAAATACAAACTTTAATGCAATTTTTAGTCCGACATATCCTAGTCCGATTCGCAATTTGAAATTCCGGAAATTAATATCAAATGCCAAATTAAGGGAAAAAGAAATATTTGTATTTATGTTAGGGATGTCAAAAGTGTCAATAATTGATATTCGAATATTCGATAGGAGTATTCGAATATATTCGAATATTCGATAAAATATATATATTTTGCATTATTAAATATATATTCACTCTCCTGTCAATAAGTATAGGTTTTATGCCATTATTTTGGAATAAAAACTCATGTAGAGATCGGTAAATGCAGTGCACTTTTATTTTTTTTTAAATATCGAAAATATGAATAGTAAACATCCAAAATGTAATGATTGTTTTTTGAAAATTCAAAAGATTCTTTAGTATGTCCCAGATTAATTGATAGTCTTATTAAAGTCTACACTGATACCTACAAATTTATACCTAGCAGAACAATTATCTAACACTAACAGTGAAATATTAAAAGCAATTACTTTTTGCAAATTACCTGATTACCGTCTTCCTTGGAAGACGGTATTGTATAGTTGAAGTTTTTTACAGACTTCGGACTATGCACTTCCTCTCTTTTGTGATTGGTAGAAAATGCATGATGAGAAAATTTTCAATTATTTCATTGGTTGAAATGCTGTTCAAGGCAAGGGAGATAACTTTCTGATGATCTAATTTTCGTACGACTTAACAATTTTGCAAGATTTTCAATCTTAAAAAAAATGACAAAACGAACAACAAAATCAGCAGTAATTAATTCCTAATAACATGATTTTTTGTATAGCAAAAAATAAAAAGATCTCTTTAACTTCATTATAAATAAAATTTGATTTTTATTGCTTGCAGGCTTTACAATTTGTTATCATTCTTTTCCCCTTTCTTGTTTGAAGAAGGAAATGGAATCAGCCGAGGTTTGCCGAAAGCTCTCGGCGAGTAAAAATTTACGGAGATGACCGAGCGACAACCGTGGTAGGGCTAATGCCAGTAAAAAGCTAATGTAGAAATACAAAATCAAGAAATTCAAAAGAATTATACGGCCTGATAGGTGTAGATCAGTTTACAGTTTAAGATTGTTGCTAAAGACGGGAAGCTTTTTAAAAAAGCTCTACTTGTAATGATTTTTAATGATATTTACATAAACAAGGAATCCATGAGTTTACTGTAAAACTGTGTCCTTACAACAATACAAGCTGATTGTAAGTAGTGGATACTATCATACAACTAATTAAGTGAACAAATAA